GCTGCAGGGGTCTCAGTAGGCTGGGTGGGTGCCTGTGCCTTTCATTCAATCCACAAGCATTTACTAAGCACCCACAATGGGCCAGGTGCTGTGCCATGGAACCAGCAGGGAGATTTTGCTAGGACAGATATTCCAGACCCAGCAGAGCTGACGTCCCAGTGGGGTCCTGCCCTGGCTCCGACAGTGGTCAGGCACTGGGTGGGGACCCCCTGGCCTTTCCAGACTCTCCCCCTCCCCAGGTTGGGGTTGCAAAGGTCGAGGGAGGGAAGGTGAGAGTTGAATGCCTTCTACCTCTGCAGGTGATGTTCTGTACCCTCAACACTCACAAAGTGGACATGGACAAGCTTCTGGGGGGCCAGATTGGGCTGGAGGACTTCATCTTTGCCCATGTCAAGGGGCAGCGTAAGGAGGTGGAGGTGTTCAAGTCAGAGGAGGCGCTGGGGCTCACTATCACGGACAATGGGGCCGGCTATGCCTTCATCAAGGTGCCTGAGGTTAGGGCGGGCCATAGGACCCAGGGGCGGAGCCACAGGACTGACCGCTCCTCTCTCTGTAGCGCATCAAGGAAGGCAGCGTCATTGACCACATCCAGCTCATTAGCGTGGGCGACATGATCGAGGCCATCAACGGGCAGAGCCTGCTGGGCTGTCGGCACTACGAGGTGGCCCGACTGCTCAAGGAGCTGCCCCGAGGCCGCACCTTCACACTGAAGCTCACGGAGCCCCGCAAGGCCTTTGGTGAGGAGCTGCCGCCTGGACCGTCATTAGACTCCCAGTTAACTTGGGTCCTGGCTGCAGTGCCATGAGCCACCATAAGGTGGCGCCCCAAGCCCAGCTAGCCTAATTGGAAAGAGCTACAGCTCCGCCCAGCCTTGGGCAGGGTATACTGGCCCTCCGCCCAGCCTGGGTGGAGGTTGGGGACCAGGAAGAAGTTGCCCCCACACCCAGCTTCCAGGAGCCATTAGTCCCGCCAAGAGCCCCCAACCCTGGCCAGCCCCCGCAGCCCCAATAAGCCAGGCTTGGCTGCCCTGTGCCAGCCCTCCTCCCCCTCCACACACACACTTTTCAGTTTGGCTTCACTAACTCTCAGGAATGGGCTCCAGGCCCCTAGGGTGGGGGTGGGGGACTCTGAAATACTTCCCCAAGCAGATAGGGCTGGTCCTAGGCCCAGCAGCTATACCCTGTGGCCCTGGGGAGAGCAGCTAGAGATCAAGGCCCCACCCCCTTCCTTTTCTTCAGGCCCTGGGAGCAGATGTGGCCCCCTTCAGTGTCCCCCTTAAACCTTTTCCATTCTCAGTCCCTGGCTGCCCTTCTATGCATGCCAAGCCTGAGTCAGGAATCTTGCCCTCTTGGGATCAACTCAGCCCCCAACTGCCCCTGGAGCCTGCAGGAGCTTGGAGAAGGTAGAGAGGAGTGTCTAAGGCCAGGATGTCTGGGTTCCTGTCCAGAACATGCTGGAATTGGGCTTCCCCCACTCTTACACCTCCCCTACCTCCCACAGACATGATCAGCATGCGTTCAGGGGGTAGCCGTCCTGGCTCCGGCCCCCATCTGGGCACTGGCCGAGGGACTCTACGGCTCCGATCCCGGGGCCCTGCTACAGTAGAGGATCTGGTGAGTGTTCCCTCTGGGCCCCGGCCCCCATTCCCTGCACATTCATAGGTAGCAGTGTCACCTGTTAGCTGAAGGGTTCCAGGCACTGGATTCAAACCCACCTATACCTCCTCCCAGTTCTAGAACCTTTTGTGGGCCTTATTAGTTGCCTTGTCTGTAAAAAGGGGGGATAACAATACTGATAATGTCAGGGTCATCCAGAGAATGGCCTGTGGGTTAATATACATAAAGTGACAAAAAGAGACCTGGCACTTAGTGAATACAATGAGAGTTATATTTACTGTCCCATCTCCAGCCCTCCGCCTTTGAAGAGAAGGCAATTGAGAAAGTAGATGACCTGCTGGAGAATTACATGGGCATCAGGGACACAGAGTTGGGTGAGTGGTTGGCACTTAAATCTGGGTAGGGATGGGAATCTCGGGGAGGAGGCTTCCAGGTCCTGTGGACTGAGTCTACCCTGAGCACCTCTGCTATCTGTACTTCTGTTCTGCTCCCCCCACCCCCAGCGGCCACCATGGTAGAACTTGGGAAAGACAAGAGGAACCCAGACGAGCTGGCCGAGGCCCTGGATGAGCGGCTTGGTGACTTTGCCTTCCCTGATGAGTTCGTCTTTGACGTCTGGGGTGCCATCGGGGACGCCAAAGTCGGCCGATACTAGGCCTCCCACAGGACCTTGCGATGACCTGAGCCCAGCCTGGGAGCCCCCGGGGTGGAGACAGCACAGCCCAGACTCCAGCATCTGGCATAGCCTGGCCCTGGCCCAGCAGTCCCAGGATGATGTGGTTTAGAGGTGGGGCTGAGCCCCTGCCTCACTCCAATCGGTACCACCCCTTCCCTGGTTTCCAGCCTGGCTGGGGTCCCCAGCTACCCCCACACACACACTCCCAACCCTGTTCCCCACCTACCTCAGCCAGGTCAGGCTCTTTGAGGGACCAGTCAGATTGGGCAGCCAGCCTCCGCCCACACTTTCCACATCAGCTGCCAAACTGGTTCCTCTGTCTTCCTGGAGCCTCAGGTTCTGTTTGGGGGTCCTGACCTCCCTGGTTTCCTGACACAAGGAATCCAAAAGGTGGGGGCATTCCTCCTCAGCAAATGCAATAATCCCCCATTCCACCATCCCTCCAGAGGAGTTCCCTACCTCTGCATTTGAAACACGAGTTTGCTGTGAACCCCCCCACCTCTCCACCTCATTCCTGTGTCTCCCTCAGCCCAGCCCCAGACAGACAGGGCATGAGAACAATGGCGGTGGGCTTTTGTAGCTGAATTTGCTGTCAAACATAAAGACTCTGCTGTTGGACCTGTTTGGTGGCCTTGGGGTGGGAATGTGGGGTGGGCCCAGGCTGGGAAAAAAATGTAGCAACTGAAATCCATCCTCCCCAGGCTCCAAATTGAATTAGGAGCTGGCCCTGGCGGCCTACTCCTTCCCACCCGTTCTGCCTGACAAGGCTCCTGGCTGTGGGCCACTAGGCTTCCAGGCAAGGCCTGCGCTTTTTGGCCTACTATTGCTCCCTTTTGAACAATGCCTCCTGCCACCCCAGCCTGATGTGAACAGTGGGCACAAAGCTGCTGGCTATAGCCCAGGGTCTTGGGAAGCACCAGGGCCAGGAGGTATGGAGGCCTGGCTTGGAAAAAGAAAGATGGGGGAAGGGGGCTCAAACAGAGTCTTGGGCCTGCAGGGCAAGTGCAGTGGGGAGGAGCCACCCCTGAAGCTGGAGGAACAGTCATGATGCCGTCACACACCACCTGACTGGACATGCAGGGTCTGTGGTGTCCATGCGGGCCGCACTGTGCACTAGACATAAACCCTTCCTGCTTGTTTTGACAACCCACTTCATCCTTGAAGATTGAAGGAAAATCTGGGAAGGGAGGGGGGTAGGTGGGACCCTGTCCAGGCCAGGATGGAAGAACCAGGATTGAAGGGAAGGGATCTAGCTAGGCCAGAGGTCCCTGTAGAAATGTTTGGGGGTGAGCCGAGAAGAAAATGTGCACCTAGTCTACTCCCCATTTCCAATGGGTGGGCAATCAGCTCCAAGGGTAGGGGAGATGGGGGTACCACTGGGCTGGGGTACGTGGCTATATTCTCTGGTGGGGTAGGGGTAGTGGCTGTTGGAGTTACCCGTGCATTCCTGGGCACCTGTGGATGTTTTGTGTATCTGTGCCAGTAGAAGGTTCCAGTTTGTTTGTTTTTTTATCCTCACCCGAGGACATTTTTTTCCATTTTTTTGTTCAGACAGAGTGGGAGGGAGAGAGAGGAAGAGAGAGAAACATCGACGTGAAAGGGACACATCAAGTGACTGCCACCCACACGACCAACCAGGGCCGGGGACAAACTGTAACCAAGGTACACACCCTTAGCGGGAACCGAACCTGGGTCTCTCTGGACAGCAGGCCGATGCTCTAACCGCTGAGCCAAACTGGCCAGGGCAGAAGGTTCCAGTTTGAAGGGTGTGGTATGTGTTTCGGTGTTGAGAGTAGGGCTGTGTGTATCAGTGTTGATGGTTTGTGACCATATTAAGGGTGTTTGTGGGTGTAACTGGCAGAGTCTCCATGGAGTGTGGCCATATGGCTGTAGAATTGAACTGTGTGCATGTGTGTGTCTGGATGTCCCTGTTTCTAGGGTAGGGGGTAACTAGCAAGATCTTGGGGTGTCTAGGGCACTGCCACTCCTTGTCTCAGGTGTGGAGTGTGCCCGTGAAACTTGTCTTGATCTGTTAGTGGGTATCTGTGGGAGATATGGATATAATTGGGGGTCTGTATCAGCAGTAAGGACCTCAAAGGGCTGCATTTCAGGGTGTTGAGAGAAGTGGTGAGTGTTAGAGTTGGTAACTATGGGATGTCTCTGATGCTGGGGGTGCAAATGTGTTAGTAAGTTCAGGGGTGTGATGATGGCTGACCCCAAGGCTCTGAGGAATGTGGCTGGTCTCAGGGTGTTAGGGGATATGATAGTATGTCTTCAGGTGTGAGACTGTGTATGTGTCCCTGCTTCTCAAGGCAGGAGGTGAGGCTGCAGGTGTGTCCCAGGTGTCCCTCACCACATCTGGAAGCAGGATCTAGGAGAGTCCCCTGGTCTCTGGGCCTCCTCCTCCTCCCGGTCCCCGTCTCCTCCAGGGGTATGACTCTTTGCTGCCCTGGCTGGGCTTTAAGCCCCTGTGTAAATAGTGGGCGGATCTCCTGGCCTAGCTGGGCCTGACCCAAGTTAGTCTACCCAATGCACTGCCCACTACCACCCACCCAACATGCATGAAGGCTCTGGCAGGGCAAAGGAGTGCTGCTACCCCCACAAGGGGTAGCCCCCAAACCTTGCAGCCCCTGTGGGCGTAGCAGCACCCCCTGCAGCTGCCCCAGCTGGCCCCCAGTGACGCTCATATTTTCCAATGTTTAGATTTTATCCGTTTTATTAATGAGGCAGGCGAGAGGCCCAAGCCTGGGGGGAAGGGGAGTGCTCCTGCCCTACCAAGGGAACGGGGTCACAGGGGGCCAGGACAAGTCCCTGGGGGGCCCCCTTCCTCATAGGGGTAGCTGGAGCCCAGAGTAGTCCCTACCCATTGCCAGGAGTGAAGAGAGGGGGATGTATGCCACCCCAGGCCCCCCAAAAGGCTGGTGCTGCAGTAGAGCGGCCCCTGGAGGCCTGAGTGGGCAGCGAGAGGAGGCAGGGAACAAAGTGGAGCTGAGGAGCCGCCCCTGTAGGAAGGGAGGGAGCAGCCTGCCAGAGAGCTGGACCGAAGCGAGTGGTGCGGCAGGCAGCACGGACTGAGAAGCAGGCAATGGGGACCTGGTGTCCCAGCCACCACCAGGTAAGAAGGGTGGAGGGCACAGGAGGATGGGGCCATGGTTCCCTCTACCTGTCTGTCCGTCGCTCTTACCATCTGTCCCTTCTCCTTTCCCTTCTAACCCAGGAGGCAGTTCTGCCCTCCCAGCCCTCACCACTGGGTGTCCAGGGATGGGTGGTCCTGAGTCAGCCTGGAGGCTTCTGGAGCAGGGACATAGAGCTGGCAGGAGTGGAACCCTGGGGCATCCAGAGTAAGGCAGCTGTGGTCAGGGGTAGGTCCTGAGTGAGAGAGCAGTGGAGCTCGGAGATGGGAATGTGGGGGGTAGATGTGGCCCTGGGGACAGAAACAATGCAATGGGGAGAGATAGGCCCAAAGTGGCAAGAGATGGAGCTAGGAGCATCAAGGATGGGACTGGATCAGAAGTGACATGACTGTCAGAGATGGAGCAGTGGGTCATGTGGAGGCCTATGATCAGAAATGAGTATCAGATGGGGCCAGGGACCAGGAATGTGCTGTTGTGTAAATGGGAAGTGGGTCTGTGAGACCCAGAGGCTATGACAGACAGGAGGGCTGGAGCCAGGGGAGCACAGAGAACAGAGAAGTAGACAGGGCAGAGTGAAGCTGGGAGCAAGAGCTGGGATGGTAAGAGACTGAAGAGAAGTCAGAGACTGGGAAGCCAGGGCCTTTGGAGTTGTCATGGGGTCACTGGGCCCCAATGCCCAGAGAAGTGACCATCAGCTGGTCCCAGCCCAACAGTGGACGCCGTGCCCTGCGCCAGACTCAACTTGCCCTCCTCTTCTCCCCAGCCCCACCCCTGGCACCTGACATGAACCCCTACGGGACCCTCAACCTGAGCCTGGTGGGCGAGGCGACTACGTGTATGGTGCCTGAGGCCCCCAACGCATCAGCTGGGCCACCGTCGGGCCTCGGGGGCGCATCGCCGGCACTGCCCATCTTCTCCATGACGTTGGGTGCGGTGTCCAATGTGCTGGCACTGGCGCTGCTGGCGCAGGCCTCGGGCCGCCTGAGGCGCCGTCGCTCGGCTGCCACCTTCCTGTTGTTCGTCGCCAGCCTGTTGGCCACAGACCTGGCTGGCCATGTGATCCCGGGCGCGCTGGTGCTGCACCTGTACTCGGTGGGGCGCTCGCCAGCCGGAGGCGCTTGCCATTTCCTAGGAGGCTGCATGGTCTTCTTTGGCTTGTGCCCACTGCTGCTGGGCTGCGGCATGGCCGTGGAGCGCTGCATAGGGGTCACACGCCCCCTGCTGCACACGGCGCACGTCTCGCTGGCCCGCGCGCGCCTTGCGTTGGCCTTGCTGGCCGCGGTGGCCTTGGCCGTGGCTCTGCTGCCGCTGGTGCGCGTGGGCCATTACGAACTGCAGTACCCCGGCACGTGGTGCTTCATCGGCCTGGGCCTGGCGGGCGGCTGGCACCAGGCACTGCTCCCTGGGCTCTTCGCCGGCCTCGGCCTGGCCGCGCTACTCGCCGCGCTCGTGTGCAACACGCTCAGCGGCCTGGCCCTGCTGCGCGCCCGCTGGCGCCGCCGCTCACGACTGCCACCTCCGGCCTCAGGCCCCGACAGCCGCCGGCGCTGGGGCGCACGTGGACTCCGCTCGGCCTCCGCCTCATCCATCTCTTCGGCCTCCGCTGCTCCCAGCAGCGTCGTGGGCCGTGGCTCAGCGCGTAGAGCCCGCGCCCACGACGTGGAGATGGTGGGCCAGCTCGTGGGCATCATGGTGGTGTCGTGCATCTGCTGGAGCCCGTTGCTGGTGAGGGGCGCAACGGCCCTCCCAGCCAAGCTTCTTCCTGCTCCCGCCTTGACCCCTACTACCCTCTTCCTGCTGAGAATATTTGGGTCCTCTCTCCCTTCCCCAGCCAGAGTCCCGCCCCCTTCAAGCCCCACCTGTCAGGAAAGCCCGCCCTTTGCCCCTCCCTCTAATGTCCATCGCCCCTCCCAGCCTCTTTAGCTTACTCCTTCTTGGGGTCTTTGTAGTTCATCCCAACCCTCACCAAGCCTCCTCCCCAGCCCCACCCCTCTGGGCCCCAACACTTAATTCTCTGACCCCCTTCCACCGCCCCCACACACTGGCTTTTTTCTCCCCTTCAGTCCCCCGCCCTTTGGAACACCTGGGACTTCTTTCTAGCCCGAGCCCCCACCCAAGGAAAGTCTTTGCTTCTGCCACGTCCTTTAAGGCCCCGCTTCGCGGTCTTTCCATAGCTCCTTTTCACGAAGACACTCATTTATCCGCGTGATGCTCTGCCCTTCCTCACAGCCTCACCTTCCAGTCATGTTCCCATCCATCCCAGCCCCACCCTTTGCTGGTCCCCTTCTTACATCCACCCCACCGCTCACACCGGCTTTTCCCGCAGGTGTTGGTGATGTTGGCCGTCGGGGGCTGGGGCTCCAGCTCCCTGCAGCGGCCGCTGTTTTTGGCCGTGCGCCTCGCCTCATGGAACCAGATCCTGGACCCCTGGGTGTATATCCTACTGCGCCAAGCCGTGCTGCGCCAACTGCTTCGCCTCCTGCCCCCGAGGGCGCGCACCAAGGGCAGCCCCATGGGGCTGAGCTTAACCAGAAGCGCCTGGGAGGCCAGCTCGCTGCGCAGCTCCCGGCAAAGTGGCCTCAGCCGCTTTTAGGCACACCCAGAGGCTCAGCAGTTAAGCCAGACTACTCTAGGCCGGTCAAAGTCCGCAGCGCAGGTCTTCGAGGAATAAAGCCATTTTGCGGACCAATCCAGGGTGGTGTGTCCGTTGGTGCACGCATATGACCGCGCGGGGGGTGGCAGATGCACAGCTTGCTCCTCTGGAGCTGCAGTTCTAGGACTTGCCACGGAAGTGAGGGCGAGGTGGGGGGGGGGGGGGGTTGGCCCAGGGCCGCCCAAGGCGGAGCTGGAACAGCAGGAGCATGCGCAGAATGTTGCCACCGCAGATACCAGGCTCCAGGCTCCGGACTCCGGACTCTCCCGGGAACAAGAACAAGAGTTGTGGAGCGCTTCTTGCCTCTGCCACTGTCAGGACTGACTCCCGCAGCCATTTGCCCATTGTGGCTCTGAGCTCCCCCAACACAGCCTCAAGGCGGTACCCCCCAAGCCACGCCCCATCGCGGCCTCTAACTACCACCCTTCTTCAACACAGTCCTAAAACCCCTCCGCGGCCTGTCCACGTTCCCTACCATAGTGACAACCCAGTCTCCACCCTCTCTCGACCCCCAGAACTCAAGGCGTCTCCCTATCACTCCCTACGCCTCCCCACCCCACTCTTCCCCATCTCTGATTTCGCCCCTCCATTCCCATTACTATGAATAAGAAGAGCCGAGGGTGCATGGAGGGGCAAACCCCAAAGGCATTTTTAAAAACTACTAACAGCTGGGTGGGAGCAAGGGCAGGGGAGCGGGCTAGCAGCCCCCAGCCACGAAGTCGAAGTCCCGGAAGGCCGCCTGCTCCGTGGCTGTGAGGGGCCTCGAGTCTCGGGGCGGGCTCAGCGTGGGGGCCTCCCCTGTGAACTCCTCATCGAAGTTGCTGACATCAGTACGGCCTGACAGTGTGGGCACGAAGGGCGGCGGCAAACGCCGGGCCAGCAGGGCGTCCCAGCCCAGGGTCTGCAGGGGGGAGTGGTGGGAGGTCAGTGTGGGGGGCTGGGGCACAGACAGATGGCATGAGGGGCCAGCCCTTGTTTCCCATCCAGCCCTGGATCTGTGGAGGTCGATCTAATGAGCCACAAGATAGAGGGGAAGAGAAAGGAGGTGGGGGGCGCTGGAAGCTCAGGAAGGATCACGATCAGGGGGAGAGCCTGGGCTCATACACAGGACAGTGGTTCCCACCAGGCCAACCTGGAATAGGTGTGGGTGTAGGACGGTCAGTGAGGGTGAGGAAGGGAGAAAGAACGGGGGGGGGGGGGGGGAATGCAGATGAAGCTACAAGGTCTTAGTGGGAAATGGCCAGGCCCTTGGGAGTCCTCACCCTGAAGAAGGGCTGTTTTTTCACATCCTCTGCATCCCTCTCGCTGGACCCCAGCCTCCGCTCCGGATTCCTCCGCAGCAGCTGTGTGGAGGCGGGGACACTGTATCAGTCTTCCCCTTCTGGACCACCTCCCCAAGCCCACCCCAGCTTTGAGGGTCCTCACCCTTCTCATGATGCCAATGGCTTCAGCTGACAGGAAACGGGGGTAGCGAACCTCATCATTGACGATACTGTCAAATACTTCTTCCTCATCGTCCCCTGGAAAAGGGGACTGGGAACAGGGAAAACAGGTTGAATGAATTAGGCACCTCCTCGAGCCATGCCACGCCCAGCCCCACCCAAGCCCTTTGCTCTGGCTGCACCTGCATACAGAGGGTAAGTACCATTTTACAATTTGAAAACTAAGGCAAGGGAAGAGAAGCCTTTCCTTGATCACACAACACGTGGTGGAGGCAGATTCTGATTCCACCCCTGGAACATGCAGGTTCCAGTGCCATCCCAGGGACAAGCAGGGAGGGGGCAGCCTGTGGCCTCACCTCGCCAACCAGCATCTCATAGAGCAGCACGCCCAGCCCCCACCAGTCCACCGCCCTCGTGTACGATGTGTCTGTCAGCACCTCGGGGGCCAGAAACTCCGGGGTTCCACAGAATGTGCTGGTCCGGTCCCCATAGCCCATCCCTGGGGCAGCAGGGACATGTGAGGTTATTGGGAGATGAAGGGGGTCCAGCCAGCCCTGACCCAGGATCAAGGGTGGGGTTGTGAGATAACCTGGGTAGGGTTGGGGACTCCATTCCTTCCCCCACCCCAATTCTGTCTAATGCCCTCAGATCCCAACCCCGCCCCTCACCCTCCTTGCAGAGGCCAAAGTCTGCGATCTTGACATAGCCCTCGGTGTCCAGGAGCAAATTGTCCAACTTCAGGTCCCTGTGAGGGGTTGGGGGATGTAAAGAGGGATGAGTGGGAATGGGGGCCCTGACTGAAGCCTGAGGGCCCCCCAGTGGGCAGAGTATGCATGTACAAGCACGTGCACACACATGCACACACCTGTAGACAATCTTGTGTTCGTGGAGAAACTGTAGTCCCAACACCACACAGGCTGAATAGAAGCTGCAGAGAGAGGCTGGTATGAGGGAGCCAGGCTCCCCCCAACAAGGGAGATCATAAAACCTGGCTGCCACATTCTCAAAAGCCCCCTGTTCCCCCAGACTCCAGGAACTGGAGGGAGGTGGGGTCTACAGGGGGAAGAACGAGAAGTGGGCTGAGGCATAGGGTGCAGGGGGCCGGGGACCAGGGGCCAGGCTCACATGGCACGGGGTTCAGAGAAGACATCACTGTGGATGTGGAGCATCAGGTCTCCACCAGCCGAGTACTCCATCACGAAGCACACATGCTCTGGTGTCTGGAAACAGCCAAACAGGTTCACCAGGAAGGGGTGTCCCGCACTGGTCACCGCTGCCAAGATCCGCTTCTCACACATTAGGCTGGGCATGGTGGGGACAGGGGTCAGAGAGCACAGTAGCTCCCTACCCCAACTCTTTCACTCCCTAGGGTCCTCAAGCATAGAATATTTGCTGAAGGCCTCTTATGGCTGTGCAACCTTGGGCAAATTGCTTAATATCTCTAAACCTCAGCAGCTTCAGCTGCTAAACAAGCACCTAGAATCCACCTGTCATCCTAGTAACAGTCCTCCAACTTCCCTTTGGGAAGCTGGCAGAGGTGGGCTGATTGGAACATCCCATCTCCTTGGCCAGGAATTGATTCAAGAATGAGGAAGCCAAGCCAATGGGGCTAAATTTCGGGATTTCGGCTGAAAACATTTTTTAAATATGTTTTTATTGATTTCAGAAAGAGGAAGGAAGAGGAAGAAACACTGATGAGAGAGAAACATCGACTGGCTGCCTCCTGCATGCCCCCTACTAGGGATCTAGCTGGAAACCCAGGCATGTGCCCTGAAGTGCTAAATTTTTAAGGAAGAAAGGCTAAAGCTGATGGATGAGCCTTAAACTGCTGGGGGGGTGGGCATCCCTGCCCCCATGAGGGGATTGCAAAGCCAATACACAAGAAAGCAGAACTGAGAAACATCATCTGAGCACCTGGATACAGCCATGCCTTAAGGCAGACACCCCTGGACATTTCTGATAAGGAGCAATAAATTCCTCTATTTGCTTAAGCCTGTCTGAATTGGGTTGCTGATTAACAAAATGATGTAAAGAAGATTGAGGACAATCTCAGTGTTTATACTGAGCATTTACAGGGGGCCAGGCAGAATGTTCTAGATTCGGTCTCTCATTTAATCCACCTGATTACCCTGCAAGAAAGGCACTATAACTCCCCTTTTATAGATGGGGAGGCTGAGATTCAGAAGGGCCTCCCCAGGATCTCTAAGTATGTCTGTGGCAGAGATGGGATTTGAACTCAGGGCCCTGACTCCAAAGCAGAGGCAATGCAATACCACCATTAAGAGCACAGGCTTCAGAGCCTGAGTCCCTAGGTTTGAATGTTGGACCTGCTGCTTACTGGCTATGTGACCTCAGGCAACTTGCTCAACTTCTCTGTGCTATCAGCAGAATGGAAACAATAACAGTATTTACTCTATGGGACTGTTGTGGGGAACAAATGAGTTACTGAATATAAAGTGCAGAGTAGATATTTTCTAAGAGTTAGTATTTTTTTTTTTTTTTCTTGCCCAGCTAGTGTAGCTCAGTGGTTGAGCATTGACCCATGCAACAAGAAGTCACCAGTTCGATTCCTGGTCAGGGCACATGCCCAGATTGTGGGCTAAATCCCCAGTGGGGGGCAGGCAGGAGGGGGCTAATCAATGTTCTCTCTCATTGATCTTTCTATCTCTCTTCCCCTCTCCTTTCCTCTCTCTCTAAAATCAATAAAGACAAAAAAATTGTTTTAAAGAGTATTTTTTTTAAGTACTAGCTTAAATATGAGAAAGGACTGCTCTGTCTCTCTTTTCCCAGAAAAGAAGACTGATGCTCTCAGAGGGCCTGAGCAGGGTTCCCACCTCTCCACCTCATCTCGGGCCACAATGTCCCCTTTCTTCAGAGCCTTGATAGCGAACAGCTCCCCACTGGGCCGGAACTCAGAAAGCAGCACCTAGAACCACAGTGGGCAGGGGTGGCCTTAGCAACCAGCCCAGTGACCCAGGGGGGTAGACTCCCAGGTCTTCAAACTCTTACCCCATCTCACCTTCCCAAAGTGACCCCGGCCAAGCACCGCCAGGAATTTAAAATCCTCAAGGGTCAGAGGTGACTTCCTGAGAGGGCTGTGGAGAGAAGACACTGATGGGGACAGAGACAGTAGGCACGGGTGGTAGGTGGTGGGCAGGGGAGGGGTGTCACCTGCATAGGGCAGGGCCTGGAGTCTCCTGGGTCTCCAAAGGCAGCTCAGATATGGTGGTTATGTCCTGGATTGTGTCCTGGAGGGGGTCAGAGTGAGGGGGGTCAGAGTGAGGGAGGTCAGAGGCACCCCATAACCACAAGAGCCACCAAGGCTCCTGTCACCTCTCTGGCCTCACCTCTCCTCATTCACTCCCCTCTAGCCACAAGTTCCTCTCACTAGGTCCTGAACAGACCAGGCATGTTTCCACCCTAGAACCTTTGCACAAACTGTTCCCTCTGCCTGGAACTCTTTTTTCCAGAACCCTACACAGCTCCTCCCTCACCTCC